GGTCTCAAGGCTGCCACTCCTTATAGAGTCTCCATCTATGGGGTGATCCGGGGCTATAGAACACCGGTGCTCTCTGCTGAGGCCTCCACAGGTACCTTCTCCTCCACTGTCCATGCTTTATCCCCAAGGTTCCCTGCTTCTTTTTCAAGAGATGGAATGAGCAGTCAGCTTCTCTTTACCACTGAATCCTTTCCATTCTCCCTTCAGCTGCTGGCCATTCATGCTCCGAAACTTCCCTGTACGCTGTGCCCTTGTCCAAAGCCTTTGGCATGGCAATGATGAGCAACACACATATTGCCCTTTCTGCCCTCCAGTCCCCCAGCCTCTAGCAATGTGCTTTGCCTGGCCAATCCTATGCTAACATCTCCTTCTCATAAGGACTTTGCGTTTCTGGAATCAATCTGATGGTTTTTAATTCTTTTCTCCAAGTGAAGCCATCTAACTAAAAGCCCACCTTCTCCTCTGATGAGTTCCAATAGAGCATAGTTTATTTCTTTAGCAAGTCGTTTGCCACTTGGAAATGGTGCTTTACTATTTCCAAATCCCTCAAGGGCATGGGGCCTGTGGTTCTTGCATTTAAGAAATATTTCTTTACAATGCACTGAATAGAATAAGAGAACTGAATTACCCTCCTCCTCCGGGCAATTCTCTCAGATACTGAGTCATTGTTAGAACATCAAATTAGCAAATTGCTAGACCAAAAAGAAAAAAAAAAAAAAATCACACAATTATAAGTGGAAACTGTACCAAAGAGAAAGCCATTCATTAGCAGAAATACACTCAGCAGCATTTGAAGCAAGGAATGTCCCAGGCTATGACTATGAAAAAGAACTGATAGCCCTTTTGCTCTTTGAATAAGGATTTTTCTTCCTGGAGTATTAGACAAGGTGGCAAACGCCCAACCCCACACCCAGGGGGCTGCATTAGGGTTTATTCATTACTCTTTCCCCAGTTCCAAGGCCTGGGGTTTCCCTGGGAGCCTGATGAAGTGATCAGGCTCCCTCCAGTACTGTTTTCCTCTGCCCCAGTAGGTTTGAACTTCAGTAGAGGCTGCGCTGCTTTGCACTGCATCTGACTTCCTCCCTTTCTACATAATTATGGAACTAAACTCCCATGTCAAACCTACATCCATCCTTCATTCAAAAGCACAGCCCTGCAGTTCAGCCTCAGTCATTTCAGCGATCCTCACTGAGACAGACATAAAATGCAGGCAAGTGCTTCATGGACAGTGACCCTAAAATGCCCAGAAATTACCACTGAGGCTGCCCTCACTGTGCCCCCAGGGCCCTTTTATCTGACACCCACAAACCATTTCTTCCCAGAAGGCAGAGAAATCACCCACAACTTCTGATCTTTCCTGCAGACCTTGTGGTTTGGATGCCATTCATATTTTTATACATCTGTGTGCTTTTCTTTTTACTGGTAGCTGCATTCTCGCCTCTGATGAGTTGGCCTAGGGAGAGGAAGGGCCACAGCCCCATCTGATCGGTGTCTCAACAGATAAGTTGAGGTGGTCTCAGAGACCAGGGGTTGTCTGCTTTGCTAAAGAGACAGTACAAGTTTCACAAACCCTGCCATTGCCTGCCTTCTACATCTTTTATTCCTGTTGCTTAAAGAAGCGCTAGCAGGACCATCTCCAGCACAAAATAGTATTTCTTGGCTAGAAGGTTGCTTAAACTGCCTTGTTGGCTTAACTCTCTCGGTTGGCAACCCAGTACTAGTCTTCTTGGCCCACACAGATGCAATTACAAGGGGACAAGTTTCTTTTTTTTTTAACACAGTGTAAGAACACCTGGCTGGCCCTTATCTGAAGTATGAAAACACATAAGAATTACACTGAGAAAATTTATGAAGCCCTTCAAGTCAAATAATCAGATGCCTCAAACTAGTACCTTGGGAGGGCAATAGTGTCAGATGACTTAGCCTTCATTTGAACAGGTGGGAGGGCTCTCAAAGCAAAAGATGTCCGAGGGAGGTGTTTGAGTAACCTTGGGCTCCTGGGTGCAGCTCAAGAGACTGGAAACTGCCAGGATTCATGTCTTTGACTAATGGCCAGACAGCCTTAGGCAACGCTCCCGGAGACAGGTGTGGCTGAGATAAAGCAGCTCCCCCTGACTTCATCCAGCCAATCTTCTCCCTCAAGGGACCTCGCCAGGGCTACAGCACGAGTGGCAAGTGCAAAGCAGGGAAGTCTAACTGCAATACTTTCCTCACTAAATATATCCCTTAACAAAACCCCTTTCTCTTCCCTCATCGGCACTGATCAGTAAAATGGCTTCATTTCACAATAACGCTGACCGATCAGGTCTTTCTTCCCAGCAATGGCTTTATTAACTTCGGTCTTAAAACACAGCCAAGTGAATAACTCAAATGTATTTTTTTCTTCTCTCCCACCCCACCCCACCCCTTTTTTTTTCTGCAGCCAAAGAACCTGAAATTGGAAACTTAAATGTTTCTGACATAACTCCAGAGAGCTTCAATCTCTCCTGGACAGCTACTGATGGGATCTTCGAGACCTTTACCATTGAAATTATTGATTCCAATAGGTTGCAGCAGATGGTGGAATATAATATATCCGGCGGTGAACGAACTGCCCACATCTCAGGGCTCCCCCCTAGTACTGATTTCATTATCTACCTCTCTGGACTTGCTCCTAGCATCCGGACCGAAACCATCAGTGCCACAGCCACCACAGGTACACATGCGTCCTCCCTTTTCCAAAACCTCTCTCCACAGTTCTGTCCACAGGGTGAAGCCAGGCTCCTCTTTGCTCCCCATGCCCAGGGACAAACCATAGTACCCTAACTCTCCTGTGATGCTGGACTGGAGCACAATTTAACTCAACTCTCTCCCAACAGCAGCCCAGTTGTGAATTTTCATACAGCCCTATGCCTGATTTTTCACTGACCGGAATATTTGCAGTGTAAAGTGTAATTTTACTTTGCCATATGGAGTCCAGAGAATTCTCCCCTTTGATAGCTTAAAAGCTATAAGAATTTTCCCCTTTGATAGCTTAAAAGCTATAATCACAGTTGTTCTCTGCTTGGAAAGACATCTACATCAGCCAAAGAAGTTTTTAAAATTATGTTTTTCTGTGTGTTATCCTAGTATCTTTATCTTCCTAGAGCCATGCATCTCTTCATACTTGAACATCCCAATGATTTAGGAAAATCACTTGTAGTGTTGTGTTTTGTTACAACCTGGGAAAACGAAGAGAAAGAACAGATGAATGCAGGAGGTAGCCATACTATCCAGGTTACCCCAACTTCAACGCTACTTCTAGAGCTTATTTAGGAAAAGATCCAATTTTGCATTTGTGATTTCTGTGGTATGTATGTATGTATGTGTGATACCACATGTACACAACACATGCTCATATAAAGATATATAGATATATAAATGCATAGATATATGAATGTATAGATATAGATAGATTATATAGATATAGATACAGATATAGATGATATAGATATAGATATGAGTGTGGTACAGATATAGATACGAGTGTGGTACAGATACCACATATCATGTGGCTTATATAGAGAGAGAAAGAGAGAAAGAAAATATATTCTAAGGTTTCTGTCATGTAGTAAAGGGGAACTCTGTGAATGTAGAAAGGGGACTTTTTTCTATTCAAAATAGCATTCTTAGCTCCTTTTAGACAATGCCTTCCCTTAACAGGTAAACTAAAAGATCACACACTGAAAAAAAAGATACCTGTAGAACAAACAGCACAATTTTTCCTTATAGTTCACAAAGGGGGCTCCATTTGCTGGGGAATCCAAGAAAAACGTTGAGATTGTACCACCAAAATTATCTGTCACTTAGGCTGCCTGTGGCTGAGGGACAGTCTGTCTTTATTCTACATAAGACTGCGCAGTTATCAGGGCAGTCCCCAGAGAAGGCACAGTGGCAGTATCATTTAGGTCGCAGCTCAGCTGACTGAAGTATATCTAAGGGAGAAAGATAGTTGCCCGTATTTATTTGGTTCAGATTAGTTTGCAAGAAAAGACAATTTCCTTTCACTGGAAGTTAAAATTGAAAATGTTATGGATTTAGTCTTACGTGGGGTTTTTTTACCATAACGGTATAAATTGACACACTTTAATATTTTTTCTTCTCGCTGTAGTAGCCAGGCCTGTCCTTAGGCACCTCATTGTCTCAGATGTGACCTGGGGAAGTATGGCCATCTCCTGGGAAGTTTGGGAGGCTGGCTTTGATAGCTTTCTTGTAGACGTTAGTAATTTTGACTGCCCCCAGGAGAAGGTGTCACGCTCCCTGCCTGAGCTGACCCTCAGCTCTGTCATCACCAACCTCAAAGCTTCTTCTAATTACACTGTCTATCTCCATGGCTACTTGGACAGCAGAACACTCAGACACTGATGGTCCAAGCAGTCACAGGTATTTCCCATCAGGGTTCTTCTCTCTCCACAAACTTGAACTCCCAACTTGTCCTCCCTCATCTCACCAGATCCTTCTCAAGTTTGATGAAGCCAACCAAGTCAGAGGTTGAAAACTTTAAAATAACCTTCACCCCAAGTTAAGGAATTTCAGCATCCAACTTCTTTTTCTCAAGTACTCACTCCCATCTGGAGCTACTGTTTGTATAGAATTAACGTGACTTGCTTTGGTTGAATTTCTAAGTCATCCTTTCCTCTGGTCTTGAATAATCCTTTGTAATGCCTTCCATGATCTTCTGTCGTGTCTTTCCAATCAACGTTCACCTGTGTCATATTCATAGAAATACATGCATGACATTTTTGATTCCTTGGTCAAAACAATCTAAAGTGTCTCTTTGTGTACCAGGATTTTAATTAATGGTCCTCCTAGCATGCTTAAAAGAGATGCTAGATCACAATCTAAGAACTGCATGGGAGAACCCAGTACTGTCATCTTGTTCTTGGGATTTTCATTTGTCTGGATTCCCTACAAATAGACTGGTCTCTTGTGCTACTGACTGTGTCAAGCATGTGTCACCATCCAGTGATATCTGTTCCAGAGTCAGAATGTTTTCTCCGTTCATATTCTTGTACAAATCTTGGTGCATGTGGTAAATATTCAGAGCATTAAAATGTTTAACATGTCTGTCTTTCCCAGAAGCCGACAGTTTGTCAAAGAATTGTTTCTCTGGGTTAGAAGGGTTAGAAGTGATGGGAGAAAAATATCCCTTCTTGCATGAAACATTGAACACATGCTAACTAGCATTCTCTCTCTGAGTTCTTTGCTTGTATCTCACATTTCAGATTAGCTGTATCCTCTGGGAGTTAGATAAAGGTAAAATGATCTCAAGTACCTAGGTCTTATTCTGCATAGCGAATGTGTTCACAATGCCGATCTTTATCTAGTAGCATGAAAAGAATCACAGCACACATCCTTGATGTGGGAGGTTGCTTCTTCAGCAAAAGATAGAGAAAGAACAGAATTCCACTCTGAAGATTTTATCAGTTATATGGTTGAAGAAATGTACTCATGCTGTAGCTAAAGCTACATTAGCTTTGCAAACTAATTAATAAGTATAAAATTCCTTGTCATCCTATACAGCTATATTCTATTTCTAAGCCAAGCCCTATTTGACCTCAGAGAGTTTAGGACTTCATGTTAAAGTACAAATGTGCAGTTAAAGTTTATCCAAGGGCCTGGGGTATAGCTCAGTGTCTTAAGTGCTTGCCTGGCAAGCCTGAGGTCATGAGTTTGATTCCTGGTACCAAAAAAAAAAAAAAAAATGTTTATCCAAATGAGCATCTTCTTTGCTCCAAATACTGTAGCTGAAGTAAAGCAACTTGAGAGCTGTAAGGAAAAGTAGTCTGCCATTTGCCAGTGCTAAATCCCATTGCAAATATCTCAGTCCTCCAACGCTGTCGTCTTTCTCTAAAATATAGTCTGGATTGAACTTCTCTTAGTATTAGTATTAAATGACAAATGAGCATTTAGGAGACCAACTTCATGTACACCCCAGGTGAAAAAGGCATAATGTCCCTTACATTAAATCATTTAAGGAGCAAGAGAAATTTTTACTCCATCTTACCAAAGTAATTAATAAAGAAATTTCCTAACTAAAAAAAAAAAAATACTTTGTTTTAATTCAAGTTTCCTCTCTCTTCTACATCCACAAAGATTTTTTAAATAGAAGCCATCTTCATCTTTCTAGCATTTAGGGTGAGACATACATTTTTCTATGATACATATATTTGTATTTCTAAGTAGCCTTGGAGAATTTCTCATATATGGATGCAGTCTTTAACTTGTCAATCCAAATAGATCAAAGAACACTAAGAAAATGCCAGGGGCTGGGGATTTAGCTCAGCGGCACAGCACCTGCCTGGCAAGCACAAGGTCATGAGTTCAATTCTAGGTACTGGAAAAAAACCAAAGGGGGGAAAAAAAAAAAAAAAGAAAATGCCAAAGGATATTTTCTCAAACATGTTCAGTGGACTACTAGTTCCTGGAGATTTTCAAAGAATATTCTGAGACAGGGTGTCATTGATCAATAAGTTCATGAAATACTGGGCTAAACAAAATTAAATAGATTTATCCACAGAAGCAGCTCATCAGAGCCTTTAAATTTGAACATGCTCTGCAGTGAGAAAACTGTCTTTTCTTGGGACATCTTATAGGGCTAGTTCTCCATTACAATCTTCAGGAAATTAAGCCTACCTATCATGCTAATGGTGTATTCATTTTTCTTCATAAGGGATTAGCACATAGTCATGCCTATCCCTTAAAAGCATACAAACCCATACTTGCATAAAAAGCAATATATTCTGTTACAAACAATGCTGGTGTTGATGTGGTCCAATATATCTTTTATGCAAATATGTTATGCAAATATCATACTGATGTATTCATCTTCTATGGCAATATTCTGGAGAAATCTGCCTCCTCTAATAATGTCTCTCTCTCTCTTTCTGTCTATGTTCCCTCCCACTCAGAGTCAGAGCCACAGCTGGGCACGCTAATCCTTAGCAATGTTACTCCTGACAGCTTCAACGTCTCGTGGACCGCTCAAGCTGGGCTCTTTGCAAAGATTGTTATCAATGTGAGCGATGTTCACTCACTGCATGGGTCCCAGCAGCTCACAGTCCCAGGAGACACACAGCAAGCTCACATCACAGGCTTGGTGGACAACACTGCCTATGACGTTAGTGTGGCAGGGACCACGTGGGCTGGTGAGGCCACCAGGCCCCTCACTGCTTTTGTCATTACAGGTATTCCAAGGTTCTCACTCGTCTGTTCAGAATCCCAACTCAGGGAAAGGTGGAAAGGAACTAGGCATTCTACAGGGAGATTCAACCCAATATATATTCTTCACTCTAAATGTAAACTTCTCTATTTTTGTTTTTACCTGAAAAATACATTTGTCTATATTTATGAGGTACAAAGTGACATCTTAATATATGTATGCTCTATTTATATAAGTTCAACTTCTTAACCTAGAGATATAGCTCAGCAGCACAGGGCCTGCCTAGCAAGGGCAAGGTCCTGAGCTTGATTCCCAGTAACCTCCCCACAAAAAAGATCAACTTTTTTCAACTCCCCATATAAGTGAAGTCAGTATTTTTCTTCCTGTGCCATTTATTTCCTTTAGCATAATGTGTTCCAGGTTCATTTAGAAAGTGGCAGATGACAGAACTTCTCTCTCTTCTAAGGCTGTCTAATACCCCATTGTGCATACCCCATATTCACTGTCATTTCTTTATCCGTTCATCCCCTGATGGACATTTAAGTTGCAATGCAGCATTCATAAAATCCAAACCCCAACCTGTGAGCTTCTGAGGAATAGAGTAGCTACTCTTGGCGGCCAATTTAAAAAGTAGATACAATATTTCCAGCAGGTGCATAAAACTTTCAGGGAATTTTTTTTTTTTGACCAGTTTTATAAACTGCCTTATTCACAGCTTGGAGATTCAGGCTAAAGAGTGAATTCTAAGTTAGTAAAAGCCCAGACCAGGTATTTTGTCCATAAATCATGCTAAGTAAAGGCGGTTCATAAGCTGCCTACCCTAGAAATATAATAGTCTTTTTCCTTAAATAAAACATTATTCTTCAATTTCAAAGTACAAGAACTAGAGATTGGTAAAGGTTCAGATAAATTCTGGCAGATAAATTCTAAGATTAATTAAATCTCCCATTCATGGAACTTAACTTCTAACTTCTCCTTGAATTACATAATGATTTTTCATTATTGAGTTTATTTATTTTATTTTTTTGGTACCAGGAATCAAACTCAGGACCTCACACCCACCGGGCAGGTGCTGTGCCGCTGAGCTATCCCTCTGGCTCTAGAATTACATAATGCAATGTTTGCCTATACTTAGTCAATCATGAAGGCTGCAAATGATGTCAATTTACCAAAATCTGCAGCTTGAAAAAACCTCAGAAATATTTACCAGTCTCTTGTCCTCCATTCTTTGAAGAAACAGACTTTACTATCTGACTTTCACATTAAATAAGTTTCTTCCAGTGTCTAAATTACTGTAAGTAAGGCACATCAATAAGCACAATTAAATGTTTATGTCACAGCAGTATGGCAACTAGAAGTGAAGATTTTGAAATCGAGCCTCTCCACATCTTCTTAGCCAAGTAACCTTGGCAAGTTTCTCCCTTTTTCGATCACCACTTCCCTTATGCATGGAATGTGGGCACTCACAAGCGTGTCTGGCATCCTGTCTCAGAGGTTAGGCCAGTCTGATGAAATGCACCTGCCTGGCATTCAGTGAGCATTTTATAGATGCTCAAGCATTTCTGCTATCAGCTAACAATATGAAGCAAGTGCTTCCGGTAAAAGTAACCACCAAGCCTGGGAGTATTGTTCTGTGGTGGGACGCTTGCCTAGCATGCAAAAGGCCTTATGTTCTAGCCCCAGTTTTGCAAATAAACAAATAACAAGATAAAATACAGAAAACAAAGCTATGCAACCACAACTTCCCTATTATTTTTAAGAGAACGTAGACTATATCTTCACATAAGATTAAAAAGTGCTTATTTTTTTCCTGCTGGGTTATCTAATGTGAGTGAAAGCATTTAGATCAGCCTTCATCATAATTTCTTAAGGAGGCTGGGAGGAGTAGCTATGAATTGAATGCTCCGTGGCCTCTAAGGAGAGGCCTGGCCGCAGACTCCATCAGGCCCTTACTTGTAGCCTCCTGCGGGACCTCCCACAGAACTGACAGAAGAAAGAGAGGCTGAGGTCGCAGGAATCCTAGATCTAGTTACCGTATTGTCTCTGCTAATCCATGATGTGAAAAGACTGCGCTTTAAAAGACGCATATTGAAAAAAGAAAAAAAAAATGAACAGGAGGAACTTGCAAAAACAAGTCCTTGATTGACTAATTAGCCTGAAAGCCCTCATTTTTACTGGAATTAGCTGCTTTGAAGGCAGGGAGGTGCAAAGAGGCCAGTTATCAAAGAGAGACCCGCTTATCTAAACAAAACCAAGCAACGGAATTTGAGATCCTTGTCTGGCTCCCCAAGAAGACTTTTACACAGTGTGTTATTTCATTTTTGTCTTTGATAGAGTTATGATTCTTGGGAATTCTTTACATGGAAAAAAATGCCTGAAAGTAAACATCAAGTGCTTCAAAATAACTACAGGAAGTCCAAGCCACAGCAAAACTTAAGTTTCTGCTTAGGGAATGGGAGCTTTCGTCCATTTATTCATTCAATCACCAAACACTTCTTTTTAAACGTCTTTTTTTTTTTTTTTTTTTACATCCCATGGATTAGTCCATAGGCATTAGTGCAAGATCATTTACTCTTTGAAAGTTTCCATAGCTCCAGTAGAAAAGAAAGCTCTAAACTAGATGCCACTGAACCAGCCTTGGCCATGGAACTCCCAACCCCTTGCCCCTCCAATAGAAAGTAAATACAGTTAGCATCTTTGAATGTTGTTTTACTACAGAGGAGGTGCTGGACCCTCTCCACTAATCCTGCCTATGTCGCTGGACTTGCCAGCACTGCAGGGGTTTACTAATTAGACACTGGTTCAGGATATAGACAGAATATACAACTCAGAGTCAAAATACCCTGTTGGATCCTAGCTTAGCTACCTGTTAGATGTATGATCTTTGATAATTCATGGTCTTTCCATTTCTTAAGTGTTATAGAAGTCAAGGACCAGGCAGGTAGCAATATCAACCTTACAATATCACTGTGACTGTTAAATAGGATAATGAATGTGCGTGAGGCTTCCTCAATTGAGAAGCATTGATGAAAACTGGGCTGACATAGCCTTTTTTTTTTTTTTTTTTTGAGCTCCCAGTGTGTGAAAAGAGCCCTGGCATCTATGATGTCAGCGTGCTTGAGACACAGATGCCTGACGAATGAATGGATAAAGGATGATGGCACACATCCTTGCTTTCTAACTTTATCCAGTAAAATAAGCTACAAAAGATGAGCAAATCTTAAAATTCTTTATGGGGCCATAAACATAAACTGTTAATTTTGAAAAGTTAAAAAAAAAAATCTTACTGTCTCCTCTTACGTTGGCTAGTGAGGATGTGCTACTAATTGACCTGAGGAACTTGATTCAGAATGTGAAGTAAAAGTGATACAAAGTCTGCCAGAAGGAAAGATTGTTTGCAAAAGACAAACAAACAAAAAAGGCAATTTCCTTCAAACCCAAGGTAGATACAAGGCGTCTTTTTTATGGAGAGAAATATGTACTCTGCAGTCAGGCTTAGCTAAACTCTTTGATCCATCACGTACTAGCTTGGGACTTTGGCCAAGTCAACAGCTTTTTTGAAACCCAGTTTTCTTACCTGTAAAATGGGAATAACACCTATCCCCTAGGCTTGCTAAGAGAATTACACCAGATGACAATATCCAACATCTAATAAACTCTTACTAAATACTCATTCTCTGAATGTGAAACACATGTGGTGATTCATTGGGAATCCATCAGTGTTCTTGGAAACTTGTGCTGTGCTAGCAAAGCCAGTGCTGCTAACCTGAGTTATTTTCACCTTCCCTTCTTTCAGAGGCCTTGCCCCTTCTGGAAAACCTAACCATTTCCGACATTAATCCCTACGGGTTCACAGTTTCCTGGATGGCATCGGAGAATGCCTTTGAGAGCTTTCTAGTAACGGTGGTGGATTCTGGGAAGCTGCTGGACCCCCAGGAATTCACACTTTCAGGAACTCAGAGGAAGCTGGAGCTTAGAGGGCTCATAACTGGCATTGGCTATGAGGTTATGATCTCTGGCTTCACCCAAGGGCACCAAACCAAGCCCTTGAGGGCTGAGGTTATTACAGGTATTTCAATTCAAATGAGCCATTCTCCCTTTTCCTGGTTCCCTTCCATGTGGTCTGTCTCCAGGATCTTCATGATTTTAACATTTTTGTCCATCTTCCCTGTTTTCTCCATAGATGTGGCCTGTTATTTCGTGTTCTCCCTACAATCCCCTTGTCTTGTGTATCTAACGAGCTCTCTCACTCCCATCCCGGAAATGAGAAGGTCAAATCGTTTGCACTTGGTGTCCCAAATTGTTTAGTCCATGTCTTGCCCATAGTTCCTGTGTGTTTACTCCACAGTACCTCTTCTTGTGGTCATCCTGGCTGACCCTAGCTATATTTCAGCCTTCTCGGAAGCAACATACCAATGAGTATATTTTGAAAATGTATTTAAATCTTTTACCATCTCAGAGTCTCAACTGTGATCGTAACAAACTTACCCGGTGGGCTTGTAGTTGGTACTTTTTAAGTTGATAAACACTAATATCAGAGAGATTCTGCAACATAGACTAAATCCGTCATTTTCTCAAGACTAATAATTCATAGAGAAATACAACATTAACAACTTGAATAGCCTAAAATCTGTGTTTCCCAAAGGCTTGCTCTATCACTAGCTCTATCAAAGATTCTACTTGGTGAGAAGTTCCACTTTCTTAAGTTTGGAAATCTTGAGTTAAACAGGATCTTCGACCACAGGGCTTTTTAGAACATCTTATTGTGCATTGTGCATTTCCAAGAAGGCATTATTTCCCAAACTTATTTGACAATGAATCGCCTTTATGGATGGCGTCTTCCTTTGCTTTGAGCATACTTTGGGAAACTCAGCTCCAGGTTTACTTTCACCTTGAGTTTTGTCTAATGAAGGCAATCCGAGATGAACACCTGGGCCCAAACTATATACCTCAAGAGGTTCCAAGGCTCAGTTATACCATCCGAACCCTTATCTAATGGTTAAAATATCATGAAAAGTCAAATGAGAAAGAAAATCAAGAGTAACAGCCATCTTCGATAAATCAGCTCCAAGAACAAAGAGCAAAAGACCCTAACATTCTAAAAGCCATTTTGCTGGGGCTCCAGGGAAGTATAATCTGTAGAATCATCATGGGCAGTTGTACAGATCATTAATGCTGGTTTATTTGTCTTTACAAAATGAAAAGAAAAAGGTCTAACAGCAGATGGGCACTGAGCCACTGGAAGACAGAGAGCTAATGTAAACAAGTTACTGGCTTTGAACTTGTTTAATAATGCATGGGAGGGGCCAATGTTAATTCCAGATGTGGATTTATAGAATTGCTTTTAGACAAAACTCACAGATACAAGCATAATGCTTGGCTTGTGTTGAACATATTAAATCCACCTTTCTCCTCTCCTAACCCTATTTGTTAATGCTGAATGATTTTATTTCTGTATCTTAGGACACTTCTATCTGTGAAATCTGGGGCATCACAGCATATTGATACCCCCGCTGGAAAGAAGATTGCACGGGCTGCTAAATGATGTTCTCTTTCCTTCTTCTTCTACCATTTTCTCTCCCTCTAGAAGCTGAACTGGAAGTTGACAACCTTCTGGTTTCAGATGCTACCCCAGACAGTTTCCGTCTGTCCTGGACAGCTGATGAAGGGATGTTCGACAGTTTTGTCCTCAAAATCAGAGACACCAAAAAGCAGTTTGAACCACAGGAAATAATCCTCCCTTCCCCTGAACGTACCAGGGACATAACAAATCTCAGAGAGGCCACTGAATATGAAATTGAACTCTATGGAATACGCAATGGAAGGCGATCCCAGCCAGTCAGTACCATAGCAACAACAGGTACCGTAAACAAACAGGAGAGAACACAAAAGTGTCCTGACTATGGCACTTCTTACAGGACTGGGTAATCACAGGTGCTTCAGACACACAAGAGCTTGCATTCAGATGCTGGCTTTTCCAATTACAGACCATGTTACCTTGGACAATGTGCTGAGTGTTTACACAAAAGAGCATGATGCTATTTACCTAATAAGGCTGCCATGGTCACTGAGATAACTCCCTTAAAGACCAAAGCAGAGGGTCTGGCACATAGCAAGGGCTCTACAAGTGAGATCTGGTCACATGCTGTCTACTGTATCATCATCTTTGCAAGTGTCCCATTTTTTTAAAATTCCAAAAACTTCTTACCTGTCATCTGATGGTATTTTGTCCAGTGATACAGTTTCTGGGTTCTTTGGCCAAACCTTTGGGTCCCCCTACATGAAGGGCAGTGGAGAAGTTGCACTGGTACCTATAAGGATTAATATTTTTTAAATGTTCCATGTGAATAAGTAGTACCATCATCAACAAGGAAGGAAAAGCAAGCTGGCCAGGATTCTCCTTAACTCTCTTGGAGGCTTCTGACCACCCTAAAGGGCATCTACAATGGGAAGTAAAACCTTTTCCATATGAACTAAGTCAAGAAGGGAAATAAGATGTTGAATAACATGACTATTAATACTAAGACTAATGTGACTCTTAAGAGAAAAAAGAAAGACCCATAAGAGATGGGTAAATACTTTTAGGAAAGAGAAAGATGCAGAAACAACACCCCCAGGGACAGCTGCCTCAAAGAGAAACTAGAGGTGGAAAAAAGAGACCTGAGAAATGCTATAGATTAGCCTTTTCTGTTTGTGTCTGAAGAATCTGATGCCCAGAAAGGTAATGTAACTGGCCCAAGATCACAGAGACAGATTTGGAGTAGAATCCAAATGAGCACATATATTATCCCTACTAAATATAAGCAAAGAGGACAGATGACCAATGTCTGTACATATGTACCATCCCAGGCAGCGGTGACACCTGACATCAGACAAAACTCTCTAATCTTTGGGTAAAGATATATTTTTATTATGTGAAATTTCAGGACCTAGTAAGCTCCAAGGAACAACCCATAGAAACTGCAATCACCATTGCAGTAGATGCAGAGAAAGTGCTGGAATCCAGGCAGCAACTTAGTGAAAAGAAACACTCCGCTCCTTATGGGCATGGCCACCCCATTCCAGGCGCAAGTCTGATTCTCCTCCTCCCGTGGCTGCCCATACAGCTCCAGATCAGAGGCAGAGCTTGATTTTGACCTCAGTTTATAAACACTGCTCTTTAAAGTTTACTTCTGATCCCTAATTTTGTTTCACTGATTTTTTTTTGAAACCCTCTAGTTCTAAAGCAGAAAAAGAGAATGAATAATCATGAGCTGCTTGCTTTGTTTTGTTTTTAAGAACAAAAGAAAAGGCACAGCCTGCTCTTTGGCAAGGCCTTCTCTTAGCTCCCCCTCTCTGGGTCCTTTGAGTTCACAGCCAAAGAAGAGAGAGAGAGAGAGAGAGAGAGAGAGAGTGTATACACAGACAAATGTGCTGCTGTGTATGTTTGTGGGTCTGTGTGCATCTGCATTCCTGTGCTCCTGGACTGGGAAAGGCAGGAGAAGCTACGACACAGCAGACGTCCAGCATCTACCCTCACCTCGTCATCTCTGTATTTTTCTTTGTGTTTGTTCATCCTTTCACCTGTCCTCTCCCACATCTCCCGCACCATTGTGCACCCCTGTCTCTCTTCCTTCTGATAAAGAGCTGCTGCAACTGCTTCTTAAAAAGCATTTCTCCCAAGCACAACCTGCCAAGGCTGAAGGCCAGGAGCAGCAGAGACAAGAGTGTATACTAATGGTTAGTTAACCAGCGGTCTCTGGGCAAATTATTGGCATTGAATTTATCACTATCCCTCCAGCCAGCCCTTAAGCAACTCTCTTTTCCTCTCTGGACCTAAATTCTCTCATCTGGAAAACAGAATTTAAGTCAGGATCAGCCATGAGGTTGAAATAAGACCATATGTCAACTATCAAGCAAAATGTCCCTGTCCATAGTACTAATATTAACACTATTATGTTTGTGGAGTTAATGTAAGTTTTATTTTTAATGGGCTACATAGTCCAATACTCAGAAGTTAAAAAGGATGTGCACTAGGGTCTCTATTTAGCTGTGTTGCTGCACCCAGTGGCTCGCGCTAGAGGTAATTAATTGACGTTGCCACTTCTTGTCCCTCCAGAAATAGATAAAATTCAGCCACAGTTTAATTCCCTTATTACTCTTTTGAAGAGCACAATGTTCAGTGTATTCTTGTTCATTCATCGTTTTCTGTGAGGATGTGTGTGTGCACGTGTGTGTGTTTTCTACTTAGTAATAGCACTTGGAGATAATCCCACGCACACTACTTATTTAGCCATCTTTCTACTGACAGGCACTTAGGCTATTGCTTTTGTTATTCCTTCTATCTGTCAGCTCCTGTGCTTGCAATGGCTTCTTCCTCCCCTGTGGTGGGACCCACTCCTTTCAATACTCTTGGTCTCCCTTAAAGAGAAACCCTTTGATCCTGCATGAAGTTAAATGCCAACCTATCCCTAGGCACCATCAGAAGGGTCACCAGAGTCTGCAGAAAATAAGAAAGAAATTCCAGCACCTGGATAAGATGACTGCCATTCTCTTCTGGAGCCTTCTATAGCTCCCAGAGGGTGCTCCAAGTGAGGACCCAGAATCATTCCTCTACCCTATCCTCATGCCCAGCCCACATCAACATTCCTGGAACTCTCCTCCATCCCTAAGGCCAGTAAGGTAGTCAGTTCCTCTTCTCCCAGTTCCCAGAACAAGCCTGCACTCCAACCCTGCCCCACTCTCTCAACTCTCAGTTCCGGCCCAGTTCAGATGCACTTGAAACCACACACCAGAAGCACATTTACACTGTCCTGGGCCCTGGGGCCATGAGTCTGAAGAAACAGATGCTTGGCAGTCCTCCCTTCCATATGACCCAGGCTCCTACTGCTCAACACGGCTGACTCAGACTCAGACCATCTTCTATGTACCGTAAAGATGATGCCACCAGTTATAGAACACATACTTTGTTGTACCACATACAGCCAGGGACCTCCTTGAATCCCCAAGACACAGGCAGAGAAAGGGGGTACCACATTAAGTGCATTTAACAGATGTGAAAACTGAGACCCTGAAGGCTGTAGCATATGTAGATAGTAGTGCCAGAATGGAAGTCACACCCAGGTTATTTCAACCCCAAAATTCTCACTTTAAACTGTACTGCATATAGTAGTCATCCCCTTAATTCAGCACCGGAACTGAAGCCTATTAAATATTCAACAAAACTATGTTGAAAGGGGAAGTTCTTTTAAAAATTTTTCAATTGTTTCATAATGAAAAACATTTGCTATAGATTTGGGGTAGTAAATTTATGCAGGGAGAAGATAGAAGCCCTTTTCAACCTTTCAAGAAGGTTGAAAGGTTTTAGTAATTCCAGATATTTTCCTCATGGAAAGTTAAAAAAAAAACAGAATCCTTTGGAAAGAGAGATAGAAATATTGCCTTGATCTCCCTAACTTTTCAGTATGTGTGATTCAGTTCTTCTCACTGCCGTCTACTGTAGGGTTGGAAACTTAGGCGCCCCGTTCATGGCTAAAGGAAACAGGCTAGAATCACTTGGGAAGCTCTGTGGCCCAAAAGCATCATGCCCGCTGTTGCTGGATTTCCACCACAGCTGTGATGTTTCTTTAGGTTCTACAGAGCGATCTTCCTGCTTCCACTTTTACCATGCAAATCCCTCACGTGGGTGATGGATGGAGCTATTAGTCCCTATGACGTGGAAGACAGGGCAGTTATTATTGCCATCTTATAAGTAAGAAAATTGGGGACTGGAAAAGAAAGACACAACTTCTAAAATGTGCCAAGTCCTACCCCAGCAAGATTTTCAGCCAGAGCGAAAGTCAGAGTGAACCAGGCAGGCAGAAGGGGATCCTATGGGCCTGAGTGTATAACCTCATGGGGTTTTCACACAGCTGGAGTCAGCTAGATCTTTCCGAAGTATATCTTAAAATCCAGAGTGGCCCATGGAGGAAAGGGCCACATGGGAAAGAAAAAAAGAAAGAGAGTATTTGCATTTACTGAATTCTTACTGTGGGCCAGACGCCATGCTAGGGGTTTTACTTCCATTACCTCTGCTAATCCTTAAGCATTCCTGTGGGTGCGTACTGCTGTTTCCCCAGGGGACAGATGGAGCAACAGAAGTTCACAGAAGTGAAGAGACTTGCCCCAGGCCGCCCAGCCTCCTGGTGGTTTTTGGACCATCAAGATCTTGCAGGCTCCTGAGACCTTGTGGTTTCCAGAGCTTTCCACAGACAAGAGGAACAAAACAGGCAGCCAGAGTCTGGAAGTGGTTCACAGGTCACAGGAGAAAGCTGTAGGAAGAGATAGACATCCTGGATGAGAGAAAAAGACAGAATGGGTAGAGGGGGAAAAAGGCAGTGTCCCCAAATTTCTGTGGGTTTCCTCACTTAAAGACTGGTGTGGGTTAAGGAAAGGAAAAGATGAAGAAATGAACTCTCCTAGAGCATGAAAATAGTGTCCTGAGTTCCCTATCTAAACAGGGGTGGCTGAAGTGAGCAAAAGCCTAAGCCAAAAAATACACAGAAAAACCCAGAAGAAACTGGCTTGGGGTAGGGAACAGCGGGCACAGGAAGTTCCCTCCGGGCATGAGTTCCCTCACAGGTAGATGCAGTGTTCAGCGGGGGTTCACTTTGGTGATAGCATGTGGTTGCTCCTTGGCTGTGGACCTCCTTTCAGTCCCAGCAGTGAGTTGTCACGGTCCGTATCTCTGTGTATATTATTTGCACGAGCCCGAGATGTACTGGCTCAGCTGCCGAGTCCTGTGACCTACCAAGGTCACAGCACAAGAGTGATGGCTGAAGAACAGAGCCTCACCTGGGTCTTCTATTCTAGTGCTATAATCGCGCTTTCTTCTAGAGGGTTTCTAGGTGAGGATCATGCCTTCTGGATTACATATTAGCTGTATACTTGCCAAGTCTTTGCATTATTTACTAAAAGGAGCTAGAATGCAAAGATTTGAAAATGTGTTCAAATCAAAATCAGAATCAAAGAAGGAACACATTCAGATTTGTGAAACTAGTCTCACTTCCTTCCTTGGAAAACAACTGAGCTGCTAACACTCCCCTTAGTGGAACCAAATGACTGCACAACAGCCCTGGGCCCAGTACCTGGAACGAAAAGGTGATTGTCTCTATCAAGTCACAGCTTGGCCACAGGTCACACCATCTCCATCCCAAAGGCTTGGCTCAGACATCACCTCTAGGCACTAAATTTTCATGGATGAAGTTTCTAGGAAAAACCACTGATGGAAAAGATAGTTAACCAGATCTGGGTTTCTCTTGTGTTTTCTCCTTGACAGCCATGGGCTCTCCAAAGGAACTCATTTTCTCAGACATCACTGAGAACACAGCCACTGTCAGCTGGAAGGCACCCACTGCCCAGGTGGAGAGCTTCCGGATTACCTACGTGCCGATGAGTGGAGGTAGGGAACTCAAGGGTTGTGGAGTGGAGGGAGGGATCGTTGGGGGTTTAATCATGGAGTGAAAGAGACCATGGTTATCCCCAAACATCATGGCTAAAGAAAAGTTTCATCCTTATTTTTGAGACCATATGAAGAGATCCCATTTGTAAAGTCCTATAAGATCCTTGAAAGAACCATCATCAGGAAGAGACATTTTATGAAGATCCTTTCCAGCCTTGAAATTCAAAAATTCTATGAGAAATTCATCCCTAGTGGGTTTTCTTTGTTTTGCTTTTGTTTTGTTTTGTTATGTTTTGTTTTGAGGTCTTTTTGAGACAGTGTCTCACTATGCAGTTCAGGCTGGCCTTGAGCTCATTTTGTAGCCCAAGATAGTCTTGAACTCACAATGATCCTGCTGCCTCAGCCTCCCTAGTGCTGGGATTACAGGCATGGGCCTGGTTTCCTAGAGTTTTTTTAAACACAAGAATAAACGATTCTGTATGCAGTGTCCTTTTCTCCCTGAGCACACGGATCTTAAAAGCTATTCTTGGCTATGTATGAGATTTTGATACCAAAATCTGTCTCTCTCTCATTATAGAATGGGGAATTGAGACCTTAGCAAAGTTGTGAACTCTAGTTCAGAACACAAGGCTGCAATAGAGATCTCAGGGAAAAAGTACAGTGAAATCTGTCTAAAGACATACTAGCAGGGAGTAAGCCCTTTGTCACTTGAGGTGTGTAGAGATTACTGGGGCCAGGAATGGTGATGCAGCTCCATGGAGAGTTTGGTCAGCTGAGGTACCAGCCCTTCACCCTCCTCCCCTGAAATTCTAAGGTATATAAATTCTGGATTTGCTAAAAAATACAAAGGCAACAAATTTGACTATGATCGTGCTTTTACTAGAAGTAGAATTTCTCCTAATAAGAAAGTCTATATAACCCTACAGCAAGACAATGGATAAGTAGTTCAGATGTACATGACGTTACATAGTAAGCTTTCCATATACTTTGTGGGGAAAAAATAATAAAGCAAATAAAATTTGCACAACATGCCAGCCCTCTACTGAACGGAAACTTGCCATTTTTAGTAGGTTGTGATTTCATTTTTTTTTCCTCTCCTGGCTTGAGTTTTGGCATCCGCACCCATGGAAAAAGCATTATACAGAAAGTAAGGCCTTTTCCCTCATGCCAGAGGGTGGGACAAAGCGAGGAAAAAGTGAAGGAAATAGTATCAGGGGAAGATGTAATTTCATTTCTAAGTGACACACACCCATCCTTGGGGCCCTGTAAATAGTCACTGATGAGATTAGCCGTCGCCGACCTTGCCTTCTCTGCATTCCAGGGATGCCCTCGATGGTGACCGTAGATGGGGCCACAAGGGAGGCCAGGCTGGTGCAGCTCATCCCCGGGGTGGAGTACCTGGTCAGCGTCATCGCCATGAAGGGCTTCGAGGAAAGCGAACCAGTGTCAGGCTCACTCACCACAGGTACGTTGAGTTGGGGCCTGGTTCTTCAGAGACCCCTTGCTCATGCTAATTTATTTCTCGTTGTCATAAGCAGCAGGGAGAAAAGTTTATTTATGAAATCTTAGTGGAAAGTGAATTGGATTTCAAGTACCAAGAGTTCTCATTCTGGCCCATCCCTGGTCTCAGATGAGCCGAGGGACCTTAACCTTCTTAACCTCCCAGGGCCTCTACTTCCTGGACTACTATGCAAATCAGATGACTTCAAATGAGGCTCGTACTGACCTGGGTTTAAATCCCAACTCTGCAACCTACTAGCTTTGTTAGCCATCTGATAATGCCTCTGCAGCCGATTTCATTCTTTGTAAAATGAGCGCAATTCTCCTTCCCTCACAGAGTATCGTAAAAATCTATAAATGTGAATGTTTGTGCGAGGTCACCTGACACCTGCTTCCTCCCTCCTTGCCTGGAGCCACTGTGAGGACCTTCCAGGCAGGTGCTTGACACAGACCCAGAACACTGACAATTATTAAGCAGCTAGTCTGTATCTGGCAGCTCCTACATTCCAGGCACTGCTACTACACTCTGCATTTAATCCCTACAATTGCTATGATTCCCATTTTATGGAGGAAACAACGGAGACTTGGGGAAATTACTAAGCTACATAATTAGTATTTACATAATGTTGGAACCAAATATGAGCACAGGTCATTCTGCTTGCAACCCTTGTGTTCTTCCAAAATAAAGAGTTATTTCCCTGTTGAAACCTGCTTTGTTCAGCAGGCTATTAAAGGGGGAAATAATGAATCTCATTGAAGGAGTATAAAGTGGAAAATTTCTCTTCAGACAGCTATGTCTCCAAACAATTTCTCCTTTGAGATATGAGTAATTATCCAGTCCGATCCATTAAAGGTCCAAAGAATGGGCCTCATAAGAAATGTTAAAAATATCCTAATTGCCTGAAAGAGTTGATAATGCACAATTAAAATATCCCATCTGAAGGCAGAGTCCTATCCAACCTACCACACAGGCCTTTATTCTTCTAAAGAAGTCTTTCATTCATGGATTCTCCACAGCAACAGATCACAAAAGCTGGGCGTGTTTCTTCCCAAGTCCCCACTGCCATCCCCAGTCCCCAATTAAAGTGGGTTCTGTACATGTATGATGAGACAGGAAGGATCTCAGAGCAGACAATGGGAGCCCCCAAAGTGCTCTGCCCCACCCTGACGCTCAGCCCAGTTATTTCATCTCCTGAGGCTCAGGTCCCTCGACTGGGACATGAGCCGATGACTGCTGCCCTCAACCTCCAGGGCTGCTGTGGGGTAACTGAATAGTAAGTGCGAGCTGGGATAACTGTCCTGCTGATTTCTATTGGTTTATTGAAAGAAATGGTTAATGTGCAAATGCTTTTTTCTTTTGAATTTTTTTGACCAATTTTGCATGCTTATATCTGGTAATATGAACAACAAATTTGAATTCCTATCATCTTGTTTAGTGAAATTCTGTATCGTTTCTAATTTTTTTATTTTTTTATCCTCTTTAAAAAATAAATACATGAATTTTTAAAAAACAGGAGGGAAGTAGCCATATTCAGGTTGGCTTCTGAGAAAGGGACACTGGGGATTGGAAGTAGCCACTTGGAAGAGGACAGGGGTAAATACCCCTTCAGTACCCTTCAGTACCCTTTCTCAGCACATACTATTTGAAAATCACACATGAGACTCCAAATAACTTTAAGAGACATATTAAAAATGACTTGGTTCCTGAGAGCTTTCCATAGCATATTTTACACACACTACCCAATTAATCTTTATTGCAGACTCACTTGGACAACTAAAGAAAGTGAGGTCAGAGGAAGGGAAATGACCTTTCTGAGGGTATGGAGGCACTAGGCAAGGAAGCCACAGCAGAACTCAAGACCATTAGCCTCTGGAGCCTGGCTCCAACTACCTGTAAGACACCTAACCAGAGAGATCACTGAAGCTCCAGCCTCAGGCAGTCTCAACTCGGCAGGCCTCCTCTGTCTATGTTAGTTTTTTCCATGGTAAGGCAGGATATGAACTCTGATGTTAATCTTTCTCACGTGTTCAGAATTTTTCACTTTATACAGCACGTTTCCATCCATAATATGTGAAAATCAAAATAGCACTGCAGAAAATGCAGCCAGAATCAGCATCTCCATTTCAGAGATGAGGAAATAGAAACCCAAAGGAACCCAGTCAACAAGGGAAAGAGTCATGACTCAAAGCCAGGCTCAGGACTCGGAACCATCCCACACACCTGACAGTGTGAAGTAACATCGGGAGTGTAGACAGCAGAGCAGCTGTGAACTAAGACCAGGAGTGTAGAGGGCAGAGCAGCTCTGGTCCAATGTCCTCCCCCATCATCACCAGCCCCTCTCCACCATCTTTCTTTGCAGCTCTGGATGGTCCGTCCAGCCTGGTGATGGCCAACATCACTGACTCTGAAGCCTTGGCCATGTGGCAGCCAGCCATAGCCCCTGTGGACAGTTACATCATCTCCTACACAGGAGAGAGAGGTAAGATCTAGCTGTCCTCACTCCAAGGGGTGTGGGTCTCACTGCCTACGTTTTCCATTCTCCCTGGTCCATGCCGCATTTGGCTCAGAATGACAAAAATGCATGGGTAGGTAGAAAGGCCAGCAATGTCGCTGTGACTCTCACTTGCAGCCTTAGCAGAGTATGGTAGGTTATGCAAAAGCAAGAGGCATATCTCTCACCCCTGCATGTTTTCCTAGCCCTTTCCTCCTGTCCCGCTACTCTCTGTGCCTGGCAGTATGAAGTTCCTTTGCTAAGAAGCAGCTCTCATAAAGGAATCCAGGGGCTGGGGATTTAGCTCAGCGGCAAAAGCGCCTGCCTGGCAAGCGCAAGGTCGTGAGTTCGGTTCCCAGTACCGGAGAAAAACCAAAAAAAAAAAAAAAAAGGAATCCATTAGATGACATCAGGTGGTACTGGGGGTGCTGGAGCCCTGGTACAAGGGAGAGCAGTAGAAGCAAATTTCATGGAAAAACCTGAAATTATTTTTCTTTGTTTTTGCAACCACCTGTACACATTTACCCAGTTGGCAAATTAAAGTACCTGCCAGCCATGAGCACAAGAAAGTAAAACCCAATACAAATAAGAAGGAAGAGAAAAAGAGAGTCCTTTTCAATGAACATATCCATAATGTTGCAATAAGCTACTGTGGAAAGAATTTTGCTGTTGTCATTTCCAAGAATGTGTCGGTCTTGCATCCTGTGGCTCCATCTTGTTTTCATTTCAGTGACAATATGAGATGGCATCGTGATGTTTACCCAGGGCCTCTGGAAATTTTAACTGAGTCTTGGTATGGACCTGAGAGAGGTGTTTGTAAGGATAGAGTCACGATGGTGTCAGGATAGCAAAATTTTGATTTATTCTTTTTACTCTTTAATTCGCATCACTATGAGGAAACTTTTCTGAGACAGGAAAGACAATGTTGCCCAAAGTAAATGAGGGTAGGGTTCATGATAATCAGGGAAATTGTGGACTCAAGACTAAGAAAAGCCTGGGCCAGAAAGGAAGAAGGGAGCTCACAGATGATGAGATAAGGTAACCAACTGTGTCAGTCAGTTTTCCATTGCTATGACAAAATACCTGAAAATCAAATTAAATAGAGAAGAACGGTTTATTCTGGCTCAAAATTTTCAGTCTGTGGTCACCTGGTTCCATTGCTTTGAGCTTTTGGCAAGGAAGAACATCAGGATGAGGAGCCTGTAGTGAAGCAGAGCTGCACACCTCGTGGTGGCTAGGAAGCAGAGAGAGAGAGCAATTCGAGGCCAGCATCCTCATATACTCTCTGAGGACATACCCGAGCTCCTAGCCCTGACTGCTTCCTCCAACTAGGCCCTACTTTATAAAGTTTCCACCACTCCCAGAAGTCCATGAGCTGGATACCAAGCCTTCTATACATGAGCTTTGGGGGAACATTTAAGATCCAAATCATCACACCAACTTCTTCCAACTTGCTACGGCACTTTCCCAGTTTTAGCACTAAAAGTTCTACACCTGGGAAGCCATTTTGTCCAGGATGGTTTGTCTCCTGTGATTACAAAACAAACACATTTACCAAGGCATGGTTATTTGGTTTCTACTAATGGACAGGACTGATCCTAGTGGGCCTAAGAGGCTGTACCAGACTCTGGGGAATTTATCATTATGGTGACCCCTCAGCCTTAAGGATTTTGTGATCCTTGGTTTGATAATATATGGTAATTTATGAATGATGCACATGTGAAAGGAGAGGGAAAAAGCATAAGACAAATTAAATTTAGGTAGCCTGAGGCTTGGGGAGTGTTCCCTGCAACCTTCCTCTAGAGTAGTGCTTTGCGTCCATAACAAAGCTGTTCCAGCCGGGGTGCCATGTGGAAAAACATCTCCTGACCCCCAGTTTCTCTTGCTTCTCTTGTGGTGCCTGGAAAATCCAGTCCCACAGGATCAATGCTTTGTATATGAGGTGAGCACTCAAGAGAGAGGAAAGCATCTGAGGCATTTCAGAAATCAAACTTACTTCCCCGCAGGGTCACTGAAAGTTTCTGTGTTAGGAGGAGGTGTGTATGCTGTTTGCCAAGTCTGCTGATGGCTTGGACAGCAGTAGGTAATGGCCGTGGTATGTGTATTTCATGTTTAGTGCCAGAAATTACACGCACAGTGTCCGGGAACACAGCAGAGTATGCTCTGACTGACCTGGAGCCTGCCACGGAATACACACTGAGAATCTTCGCGGAGAAAGGACCCCAGAAGAGCTCCACTATCACTACCAGGTTCACAACAGGTACAAAGACAGAAAGAGGTGAAAGTTCTCCCCTCCCCCGCAAATTCCTGCCCAGAGCCTGCATCTGAAAGGACAGGAAGGGCAGCCCCTTGCAATGGGATGACTTCTGCCTCTGCTGAGTCACCAGTGCCTACTCAGTCAGGACCCGAAGAAACACACCATTTCCTCTTCAACTGAAATGACCTTGTTCTCCCCACAGATGAGGAAAAGATTTTAAGAGGAGAGATTTTTAAGTGGTAAAACAGTCCTCATTGGCCCTAAACCCAAAATTTAATGATCCATGTTCCAAGCAGGGAACTATGTTTAAAAAGAAAGATTTTTTTTCAGGCAACTTTTCCTAGATGTCCAGCGGGGCTTTATGCATTGAGATGGTTTTTTTTTACAAATTTCAGCAATCAGAGAAATAGAGGGAGCATCTTCTCTATGGGGGTGAATGGTAATATTAGCACTCATCTGTCCTCTTATTTATAAGTAAGGTGGTTTAGTGATCACCTTGGTAATGATTATCCCAGCTGTACCTTTCTCCCCAAAGTCCACTCAAAGCCAACCAGGACTCTGTTGGGGTTGTGGAAATCCAACCTTTAGGAAGAGATAAACCATGGAGAATCTGTCTTTAGAGACCCCATGTTCAACCTTCTCCTCCATACACAATGAGATTTCTTGCCCAAGATCACACCAGTTGGTGGAATGGAAGGGACTTGAGCCAAGTCCTCTTCATTCTCTCTGTCCTGTGCTTGCTGACTTATTTGGTATCAATGGTCTTCTCCAGATCTGGATGCTCCAAGAGATTTGACTGCTTCTGAGGTTCAATCAGAAACTGCCCTCCTCACCTGGCAACCTCCTCGGGCATCAATCACTGGTTACCTCCTGGTTTACGAATCCCTGGATGGTACACTCAAGGTATCTTGATGTACATAAACAACTCCCCACTGCTGGTTGAAACATGTGTATGACCTGAAAAGAAAGGAAGACTTACCCGATGCTGTTTCTCCAGACCAATGCAGGAGAGAATTCAAACAAAATAATTAGTAGGGACTGGATGCGATGCTGAACCTTTTGAGTCATACACTATAGTTTCTCTCATTTTAATCAGCTCCTGTGTCTATAGCTAACCAGTCTCAAGAACCACTACTTACAAGACTTGAGGATGTTTTAGGAGCTAGATTCCTTGCTCTTCAATGTTGCATTGAGCAAAGACCAACATCTTTCTGCACATTTGGCCTACATATTATCTCACAGATGACATCATTGCATATTACAACATATTTCACCAAGTCTTTACATCAGTAACTGTTAATACTATCTATGTCCATTGATAATACTACTTGCATTCTCTCCCCCATGAGCTTTCTTTTCTTTTACTTTTTAACTTGAAATAACTTTAGACCTTCAGACAACTGAAAAAGATTTTTGAGAGTTTACCTTCCGCACGTTACTGGATTTTTCATCTCGGTTATCTTACCTTGTATTTCCAAAGTCATTTACTTATTCTCTGTACATTCATTTTTTTCTAGCATCTTACTTACATTTCATATATCATATTCTGTTTATCTCTAAAATATATTATTGGCATTTTATAAAAGAGTGGCATTTTTCCAGTTTCTCCTCTCTGTTTTATTGTTTTGGTTTGGTCTTCCTTGTTCAAGTTGGAGTCTCCAGCCAGCATCTATTAATCCTAGTTTATTCTTTTACACTTGACCCAAGAATGAAAGAACAGATTGGGAGTTCCACCTGCCCAGCAGGGCTCACCAACTGTGGGATTCACTATAGAGAAGTTAGGCAAGTACCTAGCAATTTTGTGAGGGCATGCCAAATATCATTATCACGAAGCCTGAGCTTTCACTGTGTACAGTTTCACTCCAGATTCCAGTGTAACCCTCAGCTCAAACCTGATAGTTGAACCTAGTGAATTTGAATTCCAAGCCCTCTGTCTATCTTAGTCTCTCCAAAGAATGAACCTCAGCCTTCCATCTGGACTGAAAGTGGGTAGGAAGGTCTGGGAATCTGTGTCTTACACAAAGATTTTAAATATACCAAACCTTACTTAGTTCAGCCACATGCCACATTGCCATCAAAGGAAATGTACAAATCCATCATTAACTTGATATATGTCAGCCAGCCTGAGCCAGCTCTGCCCACTCTAATTAGTTAGCCCTGCAGTTCTTATTATCTGACCCACTTTGCATCTACCAAGATTCTGTTGATCTGTGACTGTCTCATTCTCCTCTTATTTATACTCTACATTTCTTTACTCTCACTTTAGTAGACATCAGAAGCAAGAAGAGGTACAGGGGCACATCCAATATGTCATGTTTAAGCAGACATGGACACACGTTTTTAGTTACTGTCATGGCCACTCCTGGAGTCGCTATGCAACAAACTAATTCAGTGTGACCTGAAGCAGGTCCCTTGTCTTCTCAGTACCAGCATTCGGACATCCCACTTACAGATGTCTATGGTCCTCTCACAGCTAGGCATCTAGGACAATGTGTGCCTCAGTTGTGAGTCTCTTTCTAAGCTATCCTAGTTGCCTAGAAGACAACTTCGCATAGCAGCCTAGAAAGCTGATAGGTAATTGTATCCCCAAGTACTGCAGTGAGCCCAGCTTTGTACATAATAATCGATCTTTCCCCAGGGACAAGACCTGAGATGAGCATAAAGGTCGCTGGTGTTAAATGGGAACTCATCCTGGTTTACTTTTCTTGCATGTTCCATCCCCAGCTTTAGACTTCTCACTTAAGAAAATCAACGTAGTAAAGAAGAATCCCATGTAAGGAATTAGGAGACCAAGATACAAGATCATCCTCTGCCACCAACAAATTGTGGAATGGGAGTGAGTCTCTTAGTCAGGATAACACATGTACTTCCCAGTTCCAGGATGCAGGAACCTTCCAGGGGCCTTCACACTGACTCCCATTACTGCCTAGACCCGGTCAGCCATGCTTGTGTGTAACAGAGAGCCCGTGCTGTTTGGTTGAATTCCAATCTCAGACACCAAGGTCATCGGCTAATAAGAATTGGAAGCCAGGGGGAGGATTTGAAAACAAAGAGGATGTCCTGAAAACTGAAATTGATCCCTACTTCCAGACAGCAGTCCAGGGACAAGCCACATAGTTAGAGTGGGTCTCCTGTCTGTCTCTACTAGATAGATCTGTTCTGGAAAAGTCACACCGGGTCAGCTCAAACCTTCCCCATGCTCCACCAATTGAGGTCTTGGAATAATCTCCTGATTCAAGAGGTTCTCAACCTGACTTTGCATCAGAATCATCTGGAAAGCTTCTTAAATACACACCTGGCCAGGCCCCTACTTCTCTGCATGATGGTTCTGTTACCCTGGGCTGGGGCCTAAGCATCGTGGTGTTTTAAAGATTCCCAAGAAGCCTGTGATAAAGAGCCATACTTAGCAACCACTGACCTGACTGGTCACAAAGTCTTCTGCCCTTTGTGCAATTCATCTTGCTATCAACTTAATTTTTTTCTTTTTAAGGCAGAGCTGAGTTTATGTCATCACCTGTACAAAAAACTTTCAGACCTTCCCATTCCTCGTGATAATAAGCTTGCAGTTCTATGGCTTAATATTTAAGGCCCTTTATAGTCCAATCTTTTCCTACCTTACCTTTGCTCCTCCATCTGAAGCCAAGTGCACTTAGAGTATTGCTTCTTTACATTATTTTCACATACTTTGCCTATTCTGGCCCCAGGACCTTTGCTTAGGATACATTCTCCCTATCTCTGATAGTTCAGTCATGCACATAGAGCCTGGTTCAGAGTGAGTGCTCTGTGGCTTCTCACTGGATGAACAGATAAATGCACCATCTCCATACTCAAGAATATCCCTGGTTAAACTGCTGTCTTTTTTTCTTTTGTTCTTAGGAAGTTATCATGGGTCCCGACACCACCTCCTACAGCCTGACAGACCTGAGCCCATCCACCCACTACACAGCCAGGATCCAGGCACTGAGTGGACCCCTGCGGAGCAAGCTGATCCAGACTGTCTTCACCACAAGTAAGGAGGTCCAGGGAGCAGCAGAGACTTGAGGCCTAACTTCATGAAATTGAATCAACCCTCTACTTCCTCTTTGACTTCTATATTGTATTTTCTAAATAAGTTTCTGAAAAGTATCAGTTCCCTGCTACTCTTTGGAATGCTGAGGACTGTGGATGCAGGAGGATACAGGCATCCTGGTGACAGGAAAGGAAGACCAGGGCAAGGGGGCCCCCATCTGGATTCAGACCCCATCTCTGTAACTGACTGAGCAAAGTTCTATTAGCCTCAGTTTCTTCACCTGTACAATAGGACTAACAAGCATCCTTTGCTCACAAGAACCTAGTGAGGGCTAAGAGGTGTTGTATTTGAACTCCTAGGAGTGTGTGATCCTTATATTGTCAGGCTCAGTATGTACGCAACGTCTCTTCCCTTCTCCTTCAGCACATCAGTGTTCACAAAATCATTGCATGTTCAGAATAACAAGAGTCCCTGCTACCAAACTGGCACAGTGAACGATTATTATGCCTAATTTCATAGTGGGGAAATGGAGGTTTCCAGAGACTAAATGACCTGTTCGAGGCTACCTCAAATCAGAGCTGGGCTTGGGTGTTGCAGGGCCTGGGAGCCTCCTCTGCTCCCATCACTGGGCATCTTCTGCAATGGTTGTTCTGCTGCATCTGTAAGAAGCTGCATCTATTCATGAGTAGGGGCAGCATGGTCTTTGCAGCTGCCTCCTGCCCTTCATACTTTCCTCAACAATCATTCTAACATGTCTGCCAAAGAGGGTGCTTCCTTTCCTCCAGATCTTAGGGAACATGAACTACAAGTGTACCCTAAAGATGCTTTCAGACTAGGGTTGTGAAATAAACAAGAAAACAGCTCATGTAGGTAAAGTACAGTGAGGAGGTGTTGTCAGGTGAGAAAGAAGAATTGCTGTGACTACCAGTTCTCTGATACCTGTTGAGTATGGCCCCTAAATTGTCCATTTTTATAAAGTTTTTAATTTTCATGTCATTTAATTACACTTGAAAATTCCTCAGGGATTCTTGCTTTAGCCAAGATTCCCAGGCCCAGAACAGTCAAATGGCAGCTCCAGTGTCATACAGTAAGCAAGTGGCAGGCTCGCGACCTGGGTCCTTGTCTTGGAATTCCCTGAAGAGCCTGAGATGGGTCCATGCTTCAGTTTGAGATGTATGTATCTGGGGAGCTCAGAGCTCCAAAGTTTATCACAGGCTGAGAGCAGCCTATGCCCCAGGAGAATGCTCTGCTCCACAGAAAGCCACCCATGGAGTACCAGAAGCTCAGCCAGCACAGCCAGGACCTAGATGTCCCTGACAGTTCACCTTCCCAGCAGCTCTAATTGCCTCCCACCAAGATAGCTCGCAGTGTCTATCAGTATGAGGGACTGAGCGGGTCCTTCATGCCGTGACTTCCAGGCCACACAGCATCCCTGCAAAGTGGGTTTCATCCTTATCTTGTCTGGGAGGCAGTAGAGACTCAGAGAGGTCACTTTGCTTGCCCCATAGGCATCAAGCCAATAAACAACTGAACTGCAATCTGAAAGCACCTACTCTGGTCCTCCAGCTCTGAGAGTCACTATTTCCCCTTTCCCTGCAGTTGGGCTCCTGTACCCCTTCCCCAGGGACTGCTCCCAAGCAATGCTGAATGGAGACACCACCTCTGGCCTCTATACCATTTATCTGAACAACGATAAGGCCCAGGCTCTGGAAGTCTTCTGTGACATGACCTCTGACGGCGGTGGCTGGATCGTGAGTATCATGATGGATCCCAGAGCTCTCACACGTGGAGAGTGAGCATGCCAGGGAAGGAGTGGACATGTCCTCCTCCCTGTGCATGCTGACCCTGACATGCCTGAGACTTTGCAAGACAGTGCCTGTCATACAGAGGGACTTAGGAATGACCTCTTTAAACAAAGAAATGGAAAGAAGCTGTGGATTGAAAACTAACATGAGAAATAGTTTTCTTCATGTGAATCTCATCTGATCTCTCCCCCAAACAACTCTGTACAAATGGCAGTGATCATCAAACCCATTCATTATTAGCAGTGGCTAAGCTTTTACTCTCTACCAGGCACTTTCTAAGAGTTTAACAGGAATTATCTGAAGCCCATTACCAATTGTGCTGGGTAGTAATAAACTTATTTTTAGAGAGACTTTAGGTTCAAAGCAAAATAAACAGGAAAGTAGAGTTCCCATGTGTCCCATCCATACAACGTCCCTCATTATCAGTATCCTACACCAATGTGATGTATTTGTTAAAACTAGAGAACCTACACTGACACATCCTACACTGACATTATCACCCAAAGCTGGGTAATGTTTTTAGTCCTCACTTCTCAGATGAGAACGCCATGCGTGGTTCAGGGTCAGAAAAGGGAGGCGACCTGCCCAAAGTCACATGGAAAGTAAGTGATGGACCAAGCAAGGCTGGGTGCTCTTTCCCTGGTCTGATGTTTCTTCCTCTCGGAAACAAATCCTTTCTTTCCCTCAAGCTCAAGTGCATTGCTTATGTTTGTAGGTGTTCCTGAGACGCAAAAATGGCCGTGAGGATTTCTATCGAAACTGGAAAGCCTATGCTGCTGGATTCGGGGACCGCAGGGAAGAATTCTGGCTTGGTAATGAGCCCCTGCATGCTTGTGTCTGAAATGCCCATTTCTGCCTGCTTTGCCATTTGTTCTAACCACAGTGACCCGAAGGGAGAGGAATGGGTTACAAGGAGAGGAGCTTGCTGCTACAAGCACTAGTGATACGCCAGACTATCTACATCCCAAAACATGACACTATTTAAAAGCTTTAGGTCACTGAAAATAAAAACTTGAGGCCCAACAGCCAGCCTTATGAGTTTACCCAGCCTTCGGTCAGTCACTAAAACAATCACAGAATTGTACTCACCAGTATTACTGACTCCTCTTGTGCTCCAGTTACTGAGATGGGTCCCTTATACCCTAACCTCTAACCCTCTGACCACCCCTGCAAACTGCAAACTTCCCCTCAGGCACACAAGGGAGCAGGTCCTTAGAGAGGTTGAGTGGCTTGCCCATGGTGATCTACCTAATGAGCCATTGAGCTACAATTTAAAACCTCCAAAATCATTGCTAACCACACCATCATCCATCCATCCATCCATGCCACTCACACTTTCTAACACCTTACCTGCACAGAGTGTTGTTCCATGCACCATTGCCTGGGCCTGATAATATCCATCTCAGTACCGCCTATTGCCTTGCATATATAAGGATTTTCAGAATGTAAAGGGTGCCTTCGCCTTTATTGTCTCTGATTTGCACAATGTGATAGAAGACTAGAAGGGCAATGATGGTCACCTCATTTTGCCTGAGGTTCTGAAACATCATGTATTTTGCCTGGTGTTGTACCAGTGGAACACATTTCCGGCATGTCTTGGTGACACATCCTCTTTCGAGTGTACCCAGTTGATGCTTTCACTGGGTGGACTAGAACACGATGGTCTCAGTCATTTGTGCTTCCTTTGCAACCATTGCCTATCATCTACAGGGCTGGATAACCTAAGCAAAATCACTGCCCAAGGGCAATACGAGCTCCGTGTGGACTTGCAAGACCATGGAGAGACAGCCTACGCTGTTTACGACAGGTTCAGTGTGGGAGACGCCAAGACTCGGTACAAGTTGAATGTGGAAGGGTACAGCGGGACAGCAGGTATGGGACAGCCACACCGGAAGCCTGAAAACCTCCTTAGTGTTTTCAGCTAATTTCTCCTTTGTTTCCTCCCTCCCACCTTCCCTCCCTCCCTTCTTCCCTCCCTTCCTTCCATTCTTCCTTCTTTCCTTCCTTCCTCCATTTACTGAATCAGCCAACACTTGACTATGCACTAAGTAAAATACTAATCCAGAAGAACTATACTTGAAAAAAAGTTAGGTGAATATTTTGGTCACTGAAACATGGAGTAGGTTGAGAATTGGGCAATCAGGATTGATTTATAATTCCTCATTCAAAAGGTACAAGGGGAAATAAAAAAAATTTAGTGAATGTTGAAAAGGTTTTTAAACTTATTACAGTAAAATACATGTTGCCAAGAAGGATGGGATAAATATGTTCAAAATGAGAGGGAGTATGTAATATTTTGAGGGAACTTAGTAGCAATGTGTCTTTCACAGCAATAAATGTTTAATTGAAACATTCATGGTATTTTTGATCATCCCACATATGTCTTTCTCACCCATCTTTATCTATCAGCTGTAGACTGATAGAAAAATGCTTACTCAAAGCTCTCAATCCTTATCTAACCCAGAGCTTTGGTACTATGGGTAGAAGACCCCCTGCAGACACTGCTAATTTGCAGATGCTGACGCAGGAAGTCCAAGTGGAACTGAGAACGCCTTTCTTAGAAGCTCCCTGGTGATATCAATGGCATCGGTGTTGCTGGACTGGCATTGGTCTATGGACTGCAGGTTGAATAACAAACAATCTACTCCATCACATAACTGCTAACATGTCTTCTAAAATATCCTTGCTACATGGTCATCTAGCCTCTGCCTGCCTGCCCACATGACTAGAAACTCACTACACTACCTTTTGAGTGACCTTTTCATTCCATGTGTGAGTCATAATCCTAGTTCTAGTTTTGAAAATTTCTTTGACTTGATATGGCCTTTGTATGGTTTTCTGGCTGCACATTAGAGGAGAAATAAACAAGGAAACAGTATACATTAAGGTCTGCAAGGTAGTATTGTCTTTTGTAAGCATATTACTTGTATTATCACCATTTAGTCCTCACAAAAATCTTTCAAGAAGATGTGGTTATAAATATGAGGAAACAGGCTCAAAAGACTTCTCCAAGCTGAAACAGTAGCTAGAAGGGGAGGTGAGTAGCTGCAGAGAAATGTAGCCAGTGGTTTTCTTTCTCTTTTTTTTAAAGAGCATAGTAAATGAGAAACAAACAAACAAACAAATAGAACAGTAGCAGCATACCAGTATCACAAACATAAACAAATCAAAGCAAGAACATTCCAAGTGATACAGAGTCTCCACACAAAATAATACAAATCAACAGTGGTTGTTATATTACATATCACTATCCTCAACTACACTGCTCAGATTACCAGATGTAAGAATGAAAGATTGCTCAAACCATTATAGGGAATAAGAAAATAATTCTTTGATAACACGCTAGAGCTAATACAGATTTCACTAGACAAGATGGTAGGAGTTCACCAGTGTAATTCCATTGCATATTGTTACCTGCAAATCAGTTGCTCAGACCGCCAGACACAAGTATGTACAATCAATCAGAATATAAAAATTGTGAGCATTAACTGTTCATTTCAATACACCATCAGACATCAATATTAAGACAGAAACACTAAATTTATTGGAAAGGAAAGTTAGTTTTCCTGTTCTCTGGAAGGGATCAGGCTGAGAGAACACATCACTCCATGCAAGCCACTTTGGGTGGCTTCTTTTATGCTTATGAAAATAGAAAAGACAGATGCTATGGCACATTTCCAGTCCTCTGAGACTTGAGAGAAAACACCCAAAATGGAGAAATTCTGCAGATAAAGGGATGCCAAGAGCTCAAGTCAGTCTAAGGAGGCACAAAGCTCTTTCAAGATGGCAGCTTGGCAGTAACGAAGTGGAATAGCCAGGGGTGAAACTTGTTTTAGTTCTTACATGCCTGAAAGAATTCTGACATCTTATTACCTGACAATAAATACCACTGGTTGTGATGGCTTCAGGCAAGAAAGATATTGTTACATGGCAAAAAAAAAACCCACCTCATATCTACCAAGCAGCAAGAATGTGGCCTCTGTACTTCTCTGCGTTTCCAATGAGAAGATGCACCGTATTTCCCTGTAGTGCGACAACCTTTGTAAGGCTGTATTTTCCCCCGCTTTGGTAGCAATCAGGTCTCTACAGAAGAGCATCCTGTTACATTCACACCTACCTGCCATCCTCGTGCTCTGGGTAACATCATCAGTTAGAAAACCGCATGAACCGCTCGGACAGCTTGCTCCAAATATCAGCATAGAATGTTCAGGCTCTTGAAATTTTTGTACACAGCTAAAACAAATGCCACCAAATTGCTTCCAAATTTCAACGTATTAAATTGCAAGCTACATTCCCCAATAAACTTTTATGAAATGGGCTTCTTGTACAAGAGTCAGAGAACTCCAGTCAAATAAACATTTTGAAAAATAACTGTAAGACACGGGCTCTTTGACAACATCTACTATCTAAAGGGCTTAACTTGCTCTTCATGTGGAACAAGCACACATCATTGTTAACTGCAAGTGTCTCATCTTACTCTCTGAGCTCTTTTTTTGTGAAAGGAATGCAGAAAAATTATAAATGTAATAATCGTAAATACCTACCTGCATACTGCTCTGCCCACTTAGAGCACACCTTCATCTCCACTGTCACACAACACTGTGATGTAGAGGGAATCGGCGTGTTGGCTCCATCTCCCAGATGAGAACACAGAGGGTGAGCAAGAGGCTTGATTCATACAAGGTCACAGCTAGAGAGTGAGATGGGGCTTGAAGCTGGACCCTCCACTGTCACCTACAGCATTTTTCCTACCTATTACTCTGCTGCTGTCGGAAATGAGCTTTGGGGATGCACTCATGTCCCAGCAGTCCCACTTTCAATCGTGACTCTGAGTCTGGAGTTCAAGGCCAACTCACCCCAGGACCACACAGTGGTTACCTCTGGCTCTGCCCTTCACAAGCCAGAAGGAAACTCCGGCTGAGATTCCAGGTCCTTATTTCTCTCTCCCTCTCTTTCTCTCAGGGGACTCCATGGCCTACCACAATGGCAGATCTTTCTCCACCTATGACAAGGACACAGACTCAGCCATCACCAACTGTGCCCTGTCCTACAAAGGAGCTTTCTGGTACAAGAACTGTCACCGTGTCAACCTGATGGGGAGATATGGCGACAACAACCACAGTCAGGTGAGTTGGCTGTGAGGACCTAGAGCAGGCACAGCTCGGGATGCTGGATTGGGTGAGGGGAAGGCATCACAGCTCCTCGTACTGGTGGACACTGGAGGCGCAACCGCAGAGATGTGACCATCAGGTTTTTCTCCAGCACAGCAAGAAATCATGATGAAAGTACAGATGAGCTAAAATAGAAAGAGTTCATGTTAACCCTTGAAGATCCCAAGTAGAACCCTTGGTCAGGGGGATTGTAGGCTTAGAGAGCTTTCTTCAGACACAATCTCTGTGTAAACCTCAAAAGTAAAGCAGATGAAAATGGAAGTCATTTAGACAAAGCAGGGTCAGCACCCCAGAGCCTTGGGCATACCTTGGGATGAAGTCACACCCCTTAAATCCCATTATTTTATGATGGGAGCAAGGGCCAGAGAAAGGTAATTTTCCTGAGGTCATGAATGAAGTTGGAATCAGACACAAACCTCCCCACTTGCAGGCGCCAGTGTTTTTCCTGCACCACTTGCAACTCGAGCACCATCTTTGCAATTACAGAAGTAGGTTTTTGAGATTCCCTTTAGGAACAGGGAAGCAAAAAAACCCAATCATCTCCCTTACAGTGGGCCCTGCCTGCACCACTGTGGGCATGGAAAGTGAGAGTTGCCAAGTGGGGCCAGCACACTAGTCAGACCCAGCTCCTGCCCTGGCCCTGATCAGGAGCTCATCCTCATCCGAGAGAGGAGAGACAGGTGTTCTCACAGAGCCACCCCACACTGACCCCTGGACCTCAAAGATTCTTATCAGACCTTCTCACTGGAATCCCAGGGTCTTTGGAAAAATGCACTGGCCCAAGGCACACATCACAACCCTAGGGATTCATATTTGATGACCCTGGGAGCACTATAGCATCTTCACTTTTGGCTTATTGTGCTTCTGTTGTCATTGACTTCGGGCAAATTTTTTCTTGCTAGGCCCCACAGGGGATTCCTGCCATGCAGTACAGCTGGGAATTGGCCCACTCCATTGTCAGCAATTCTGATACCTGGATTAGACCTAGATTAACTACTAGCAAATGATCCCTGTGACCTTAAATGTACCTCTCACCTTCACAAAGTGTTTCAAAGATCTCTTCCCTTCTCAATCTCATGCATATATCGGCTTTACCTGTGAGGGCACCAGGGCCTGGCCTTTCAGGCTGTGTTACCAAGGAAGCCACTGAAGGAGACCTAGGAACTCATCTCCTCGGTTCTTTCCATCTTATTACACTGCCTCAGTAGCATTTCCATCCTGAGCCCTACTCTATCCCCTTTATTGTCCTGTCCCCTAACACTGGTGTAATGTGATGATTTTCCTGAAAACAAATCAAGCAAAACAAGAGGCTTCATGTCAAAAATGAAACCCCCACTAAAGAGCTACTCATGGAACCAGGAAGCCTGTCGTCTTTTCTTGTAAAAAAAATGCCTTGGCCAAAATTTCAAACATCTCTGTCCTTCTGTGAGATTAAAGAAATAATATTTACCAAGCCCCCTACAAAATGCCCAGTACTGTGATGCATCTCTACTCATTCAGTCTTCATAGCCTTTTTCAAGGTTGAGATTATTGCACGGTAAGACAGAAGGGAAATGACAGTGAACTTAAGGCCCAAAACAGTTTGATAACTTGTTCAAGATCATTTATCTCTCAAATAAAAGCACTAATATTCACCCTCATCTGTCACATTGCAAAGCTTGTGTTCCAGCTCTGATTTTTCTGCTAATCCATACCAACATGCATACCTTGCACTTAGCTACTCATTTCTGTAGCCTTCCATCAAGACCAGAACTTCTGTAGAAACTAGTCCTAAGAAAGCCACACTTATCTGCCACCATTTTGTTTCAAGATGGCGGCCCAGAGCTCAATGCAAACTCAGGTGACTCCTGTCGTGGTAAGACATTGAGTCAGATGCAGCTAGCCCCTTTGAATGTTCCACAGCAGAGCCCAACTCACAGGTGAGAGGGAGCTGCTGTGTTACACCACATGAGCAAGTTGAAACAAAGCTCTTTTTGTTTGAACAACTTAACAGTGAGGATCAACACACACCTTGCTTAATGGAAGCCAAAACTCGGGGGTATTTTCTTTGTTGCAGGGAGTTAACTGGTTCCACTGGAAGGGCCACGAATACTCGATCCAGTTTGCAGAGATGAAGCTAAGACCCAGCAACTTCAGAAATCTAGAAAGTAGACGCAAACGGGCATAAACTCCAGGGACAACTGGGTGAGAGAAGAGGAGGGCCCAGGGAAAGAAAAGGATTTTACCAAAGCATCAATATACCCAGTCCAACCATCTGGCAACACCTGGGCATTGGGCAAGAGTCAAGGCTGACCCCAGGCCATGAGGCCACTGCATCACCCACTCTGCGGTCACTTCCTTCACACCAAAGACAGCAGGCTGCAGCAGGCTTCTGTTTTGTTGTTTGACTCAGAAAAATCCTTCCAGTGACAACAACACAATGGTTTTTACTTCTCTTGGGTGGCTCTGGGGATGGGAGAGGGGAAGACAGTGGTAGTTTGTTTTAGAACCAGCTGTATTTTAAACAAAGCTATATAATTAATTGTCATTATTTTTGTTAGTAAAGATAAAATGTGTGTCATTGGAATTTGACCCCCCTTTTTTTACATTTTCTACAACCCAAGTCAGAAAAGCAATGCTGTTTTCCTTTCAAGGAGATGATTAATATTATTAATATAATAATGATGATGATGATGAGGACTAAGGATTTTTAAAGAGTTGTTCCTTTCCCAAAAACATCTGGACAGTACCTGACTGTATTTTTTTTTAATAAAACCACAAGTACTTTTGAGTTTGGCTGTTATTTTGTTTTTTCTTATCTGGTCTGAATTCTACTAAAGCCAATGTATTTGAATAAAAGGAGGGATATAGGAAGGAAAGGTAAAGAAAGACAGACAAAGGCTAAGAGGAAAGAACGTGCTGTTTTGAACACAGTTGAACAAAAAATGGAAAAACTACCAACTTAACATTTAGCTTCTTGCTCAACCTTTCCATTTCCACAACTAATTGTTTACAAATTAAACGCTTTCTGGTGCAACCTATAAATCCTATAATGTAGAGGAGGTGGGAATTATTATTACACAAAGTTAAAATCCCCAAAGCCAGAGACTCTGACTTCCACCATTCCCAAGGTCTCTAACCTCCCCCTGTCTCAGTTTCCTCTTCTATAAAGTGAGGACACTCAGACTTCTTCTTTCATACCATTTATGTGAGGAGTAAATTATGTCCTCCATACAAAACCTTAACCTGATGTATGACATACATGAAATGCCAATAAGTGTTAGCTATCTGTAACATCACCTTAAAAGGGATAGATTAGTGTCTTAATTACTTTTTCTTGTTCTGAGACAAAAATATCCAACACCCAAAGTCAGCTGAGGAAAGTTTTATTGTACCTTGCAGTTTGTAGAGATTTCAGTCCATAATCAGCTGGCTCCAAGGCAGGGCGGGGTAGCAGAGGGGCATCTCAGAGAAGAAATAGTTCATGGTAGGCAGAAGGCTGAGAAGCAATGAAGAGGCAAACAGCCAGTGAAGTAGCAAGCTAGAAAGTGTAACCCCCTTTCTGTCCCTTATATTCCTTCTATTCAGGCTACATGCCCTTAAGGTGGGTAGCACTCACACCCAAGGTGGGCCTTTCTATTGTGCACACTTAGAACTATACCAAGCCAATCAATGAACTAATTTACTGAACACACACCCTTGATCTCAGCATCACACATTTAATCCCAGCATCACACACTCTAGATACAGCCACCTCTGAAAATCCCCTCCTGTGACAGCATGAGGCTTTGGGGGAACAGCCATACACAAGCTATTACACTAAGGTTCATAGATTTGGCTGTTGCTACCTACTCAGTTAGTAACAGAACTGATATTTAAACCCAGGCCCTCTGACTCCAGTGTTGCTGCTTTCTCCCTGGCCTCTGATTAAAAAAAAAAACTCTTCATCTCTGGGCCAAGGGATGCCATGATGACAAAGAGCAGGTAGCAAATTGGAGACATGAAGGAATTTCAATGATATCTTCATGAGGTTCCTACAGTCTTGGATTTTTAGAACTAGAAAGAATGTCTGTTCAGAATATCTCCTCCCCCTTTCTCCAACTCCCCTTAAAAGGAAGAGAACCCAGAGTCCCTAGCCTTAGCCTGAACAAGTGCACTCATTGCCCAACCCAGCAGGTCTTTTCATACTGAGCTGTGCAGTGAGTCAGAACCAAAGGAGGGGGCCAAGTCCCAGTTCATTCTCTCAGAGATCTTTAGCAAATTGACATATTTAATGAAAATGCTTGGGCAGATAGTCCTCATTCAAATGGAATGAGATGGCTCAGATGCTAGGGTCAGAGGAATTTATTCCCCCAGCCAGATCCTTTGCTGTTGAGTTTATCTTACTTTAATAAATGCTGTCGTGTTATATACACAATTTGCTTTTCCAGATCATAAGACCTGTTGCCTGCAGTTCAGCCATAGCAACACTCTGCTGGCTGCACAAACCCAAACAAACGGGGTCCTCTAACAACCAGACCTTAAGTAGGAGGCTTGACTCTCCACTGGCTGCTGACTTGCGAGTGTCAACATCCAAACCCAGGTTCAGGACTGTGGCTATAACTAAGCTGCTAAGGCATTTATCCAAAGCTCCACAAGAATCAAATCCTGATTGGTAAAGAGGTCATATCAAATAGAAGCCCTTAATCATGGCCTCGGGAAGTTGCAGATACCCCCAAGTAGGAGCCAGGGGAACAGAAGGATTTGAGGTCACAACATTTAAAGCTCACCATTTCTCAATACATCCTTCAGGCTCTGACTCTGTAGCTTTTTCAAGCAAATGCTCATGGTTTCAGAGGCTTCAGTCAATGGACAGCTAGCTCTAAGATGAAACAGCATGAAGGAAGGGCACAGCAGAGGACAGCTGTTCACCTTTTGGCATCCAGGAAGCAGAGAAAAAAGGGAGGAACCAGAAACAAGAGTGCAACCTTCCAGGTCACACCCAGTGACACACCTCTTCAACCAGGCCCCATCTCCTATGAGCACATTCAACTCTCAACTCATCAATGGATTAATCCACTGACAAGAATAGCATCCCTGTGACCCAATCGTCTTCTAAAAGTCCCACCTTTGAACACTTAACTTTTGAGGGACATTTTGAGCTAAGTCATAACATCCCTTCCTCTTAAAAAAATCTCTTACAATTCTACTCTACCCTCATGGTTCGGGCTCTACCCCACGACCAAGAAGCAGCTGAAATTTGTCCTCTGAGACTCCATTCCTAGGATGATCTGTTTACTCTTTGCTCCTCCCCTCATCTGCTCTCCTCCTTTTCCCTGCTTTGTGCCCTTCAAGACACTGGTGTGAACACTATCAACAGCCTGCAGCTTCCAGATAGGCATGGAAAGGCATTACTAGAAGAATACTGAAAAAAGGAGTCAAATTGAGGCTGAGTTAGGGTACTTCTTTTCCAGCTCTGTTTCTACAACGTTACTGTGAACCAACAGCTTCCCTCATGAATCACACTGTCATGGTCAGTTGACTGCCCTCACAAAACTCCCTCTGAGGTTCAGATCCTGCTCCCTTGACTTGCTCCTTCAGGCCTACAAGTGGCCACAGTGCCTTGATTCTGTCATGCCTGGGAAACTGCTGGACCTTTCGTTCTTCTCTGCTCTGCCCACTAATTTGAGAATAGCCCTTCCACTTAAGCTCTCCTTAGAGACCCTGATAGGCTCACCTACTCTCAGGAATACCTGGGTACTTGGTACCACTGTTAAAGCACATGCTTATCTTATGCATTACCGTTTCCTTCTCAGGGTTCTCTTCCCCAGTGGTCATTGGTCATTTCATAGCTTCTTAGCATCCAAGTTCCTTTCTAGTTTCCCAGTGGCTGGGGATCCCACCTTCTGTGATGAAGACCCCAGGAGAAATACTTGATTCTCCTATCCTAGTAGCTATAGCATGAGTGCAAAACTTGGGTTTAAACAACTGGCTACCCAGAAAGGGATTTAAACGTGAATGAGGAATACAAAACAAAGAGCCTCTGAGCCTAGCTTCCCTGCAATGGAACCACCTGTCAATGAGATTGGAGACTAGCATCAGGTGCAGCAGTGTCTTCCTCTATGGCAGTGGGCATTGGGCATTCCTCATAGTGAAAATGCATCCTGGCTAATTGTTCCTGCTGCCCAGCGTCCTTTGATTACTGGTGGCTTTCAGAGCCTACTTCTCCAAACTTTCCATTAATTTTATGAGTTTCCTGAGAGCTTTTTAGAAAGTTCCTTTTCTGCTTAAGTAGTCTCAAGATTATTTCTGACGCATGTAGCCAAATGCTTTGACTGATATGCTCCTCCCCTGACCTACAAACTCTTCTTTTTCATTGCCTTTCTTGTAGGCCTAGCGTTGTACTTGGCTCTTCAAATACTAGAAGTTTATTGGATAATTACAGTGACCTGTAGACAGTCAAGACTAGTTTATTTTCTCCAGGAAACTAAGCAGAACTCGTGTGATTTGTACAAATACATCAAACTGTAAAGACAGGTCTCAGACCACAGTTTAAAGGTAGGATACCTTGTTGAAAACTCCAAGGTCTTTGTAGTGAGAGTGTCTTACTCATTTCAACAAACCGAGAACAGTATTTTATTCATTGCACAAATACTTGTTGAGCACGCTGCCTATGAAAGGGCTTCCTCAGTGAAAAAAAAAAGAGAAAAGATCCAGGCAACTTGCATCCCAGCGAGGTACCTTAGTGCATGAGCAAATTAAATAGCATATGAAAAGGCAACAAATGCCTTGGGAACACAGAACAACTGAACTACGATAAGAAGTGGGGGTGCCAGAACAGGGGGCACACGGTCGGGTAGTCAGGACATGTTTTGTTGAGAAGAGTCAAATGAGGAACATACGATACATTCAATGAACATCTGTCACACTGAGTCACGGATCATCCCCCCTTATTTTAAAGATGGGGAAGCAGCATCCATAGAAGGCTGGGTATTGCCCCATGCCAAGTTGGCACTGGATTCTGATAGTAACCCTGCATTGCAGCATGGCAGTCCCAACACTCTCCTCCCTGAGCTGCCCTGGCTGCATGTTGTCAAACATCTCTCTGTACTGCCAGTTCTTTGGGACAGCCACTCCCCCCTTCTCTGCCTTCCCTGCTGTTATGGCTTGCATCTAGAATTCCCCCCCTGCCAAAGCCTCATGCACTCATAGGTGTGACTTTTCAGAACTCGCTGGATCTAGGGTGTGTGATGCTGAGTCTAAGGGTGTGTGGTACCAATGGCTGGTAGCCTGGATGGGAGACAAAGGGAAATGGAGCCTTGCTGCTTGCTGCTGCTGCCTCCTACCTGCCTTGCCATGGACTGTTTCTCCTCTGTGATGTCTCTTCACAATGCCACTCTGCCTCTGAGCCAACTGACTACGGGCTGAAGCCTCTACAATATGTGAGCCAAAATAAACCTCTCCTCCTTTAATTTTGGTTGCTGAGTATTTTGTCTCAGCAATGAGAAAAGTAACAAAGACACCCACCTATACTGTTCCCTTTCCCAACACCCCAACCCCAATGAAGACAGGAGCTCCTTGGGGTCTGTACTGATGGGACCTCTTCTCCCAAGACTAGCATTGTTCCTCTCATTTAAAATTCATATTGTGCAACAACTTCCCTCATAAGCCCCACACTGGATGAGCAAAATAAGCACTGTCTTTGTGTAGCCTTCAAGTGGGAAAGATTGGCAGCAGCCACAGGATTAGACCAGCAAATTAATCAGTGCAAACTAAGGCCAATGCTTTGGAAGTACATTCACAAAGCAAGTG